AAAATGGGTGAGTTCGCTCCATTTTCTAAAAATTTGACGCGGTGTAATAACCCAAAAAATTTAAGTAAAAAATTATTTGTTTATAAACGTGATGTGGGCGGGGGGGGGTTTCGTAACGGTATTTTATCCGCCATTTTTTTTTTTTTTCGTAATTTTCTAAACCGATAAAATATAAACTACCAACATTTGGTTTTTGCGGTTTTTCCTTTTTTCGTTTAATAATTTTCTAAAACGTTCAATTAACGTCATTAAAAGAAAAAAAAACAAAAAGGATAAAAAATAATAATAATGATAATAATAATAATAATAATTATTCGGTTAAAAATTTTTTATTTTCAGAAAACAAAAATAGAAAAAAAATTAAAAGTTTTTTTTTTTTTTATTTTGGGGGGGGGGATTCTGTTGTTGTAAAAAAGTGTGTTATTCGAAAATCGATATTTTATTGCTTTCGATTATTGACGAAAAAAACGGGAAAAAAAGAAAATTCTAAAATGATTTTCCACTGGTAAGGATTTTAATTAAAAAAATGTTTTTTTTCTTTTTTTTAGGTAAAAGTGAAACAAAATTTTCCGGATACAAAAAAATCCGCTGCTTCTGCTGCTGTTGTTGTTGTAAATACAAAAGTAGGAATATAATATTAGATTGAAGTAAGTTTCTTATTTATTTTCTCTATGGTTTTTTTATTTACTCTATGAAATTTTTTTTTTTTTTTTTTTTTGGTTATTAGGCTTATCGTTTTATTTTTTTATTTTCCTTTTAATTTGTTTTTACGACCTCGTTTTCGATAATAATGATGATGACGGTGATGATGATGATGATGATAATGATAATTTATACGGGTTTAATCGTCTTTTATTTATTTTTTTCTTCTGTTTTCCGCGCGGGGAAAAAAAAAAAAAAATAAAAAATAATAATAATAATAATAATAATTTTAAGTAATTCGGATACGAAAAGGGGGGGGGGGAAATAATAATTCTTGCGTAAAGAAAAGAAAAAAAATTTTTTTTTTTTGTCTTTTTTGTATTTCTCTTCGCCGTTCTGATATCGAACCATTGTCGGAAAATGTTTTAATGATGAAAAGAGATAGTCAAATGTAATAGTGAAATGGGTTAGACAAAGATAAAAAAGAAAAAGAGAAAAAGGAATGTTTTTTAATCGAGCCCTCTATCGGTTTCAATTTCAATTAAATTTTTTTTCTCTCTCTCTCTCTCTTTCTGTACCCCCCGTTTTTACCTTCTTCGTAGAAAAAAAAAAAAAACCGTTGGAAATTCGAACGCGTTCGAATTTTCGAATTTCAAAAAAAAAAAAAAAAAAAAAAAAAAAACAAAATGTCTGACGCGTTGATTGTTTTTATCGTGGTCGTTAATAATAATAATAATAACTATTGTCATAAAAATATAAAGAAGGTTTCGTACAAGAATTTGCATACGTTTTCAAAAAAAAAAAAAAAAATTTCCCGCGTAAATCGTGATTCGATTTTTCAAAATTTCCCCGGGGTGAGACGATGACGTTTTTTCCTCTCTCTCTCTCTCTCTCTGTCGTTAAATCGGTTAAAATTAATTTTGGAAAAACGTTTTACGTTTTACGCAATTTTCGCATGCGTTCCCCCCACAACTCTCTCCTTTCCCTCACCCCCTCAATTAAAAATAATTAACGCGAATTTTCTTTTTTTTTTTTTTTGGGGGGGGGGAAGTAATTAACGGGAAAGATTAACGACGATTCGAATCGTTTTATATGTGGAATCACGTGTTATATTAATACAAAATGGCGGTCGTCACGAAAAGGAATTAAGAGAAAGAATGGATTTAATGACTGAATGGGTGTGACCCATTCAAAAATTAACGAAAAAAATTTTTTTCCCCCCGATTCCATCATTAAAAATTCACACGCACAGGCACACGCACACGCACACGCATAGAGAAAATAAATGAAAGATGATGATGATGATGACGATGAACTTGAGAAGTGAAGGGAAAATTTAAACAATGATGACGTCACAACTTTTTCCAATGGTTAACTAATCGATTGATTATAGATAGTCAAGTGCGTGCGTGCGTACGCGTGTGCGTGTGCCTGTGCGTGTGCGTGTAATCACGTATTGGAAATTAATTTGAAAAAAAAAAAAAAAAGAAAATGTTAGCCGAAACGAAAATAACTTCCTTTGAAAAAAATAAAAACAATTAAAAAAAAAAAAAATAAACCGTACGGAAGAAAGAACAACAACAACCGTTTCCGTTTTTATTCGTTACGAAAATTTCCGGTTAAAAAAAGGAAAAAATGAGGAAAAAAAATAAATTCGTTGCCTCATCATCATCATCATCGTCATCATCATCATCACTATCATTATTATTATTATTTTTTTTCCTACTCTTTTTTCTTCGTCTCACTCTCTCTCTCTCTCTCTCTCTCTCGAAAAAAAAAGAAAAAAAAATTTAAAAAATGGAAGGTTGAAGTAGAAAAAAAAAAAAAAAAAGAAAAATTTTTAACCTTTGAATTTTTTCCTTTTTTTTTCCTTTTTTTTTTTTTTTACTCCATTTTATTTTTTCTTTTCATTTGCATTTATTTTTTTTTTATTTTTTATTTTTTTTTACTTTTTCATCGTAATTTTTTAGAGAGGGTTTTCTGTCCTTTTTTAAAAAAAGAATATGAAAAGAAAAAAAAATTTTCTTTTTGTGAAAGAAAAAAGGAAAATCTTTGAATTTTGTACGAAGGGGGAAAATCATCATTAAATTTTTTCTTTCCCTTTTTCTTTTTTTTTTTGTTGAACTTTTTAACTTTATGTCTCGTCGCTTTATTTCTAAGTGCATTTTTTTTATACTTTTTTTTTTTTTTTTTTTTACCTTTTTTCCCCCCCCTTTTTTTATTTCTTTCCTTTTTTTTAGTTCGTTACGAATTTTTCTTTTTTTGTAAGGAAAGGAAACGTCTAGAAAAAAATGTCGTTTCTTTCTTTTCTGTATTATTATTATTATTATTATTTTTTGGAAAATTAGTTTTACGATGATGTTTCGAATTTTTCTTTTTTCTTCTTTTTTTTTTTTTTTTTTATTTTATCGGAAAATAATTTTAAGGAAAAATGGCGGAAAACGATCAAAAAATGGGAATTTTTTTTTTTTTTTTTTTTTGGGAAAAATTGAATTTGTATTAAAAATTCTGCCCTCTAACGTTTTAAAATGAAACTATTTCGAACGATTTGAAAATGGCCATATTTCCCCCCCGTTTCCCCCTTCAATTTATTTTCAACGGATTTTCGAATTCTTCTCCCATCTTGCGAAAAATTAATTAACTAACGTAAAACTGTTTTATCATTACACCTAAAATAAGTTTTTTACTTTTTTTTTTTTATCAATAGATGGCATTCGAATTAAGGATTGAGTTTGAGTTTGAGTTTTTTTTTTTTTTCGTATATGAAGTAAAGCATAAAATTGAAATTCAGGTGAATAAACTCTCAATTTTTTTTTTTTTTTTTTTTTTTTTTAAAAAAAAATTTTTAAAATCTGTTGTTGACACGTTTAAAACGATTTCGTTTTCGATCACGGTCAAATATTTTTCATTTTTCACTTTTTTTTTTTTTTTAAAAAAATTACCCCCTTTAGTAAAGTTTAATAAAGGTTTCCAATCATTTTGTTCATTCGAGTCATTTATGGCGAGGCAAAAGTATTTTTTTTTTTTTATGAAAAGGTTCATTACAAGATAAAAGAATATAAAAAAATATAAAAAAATGTAAAAAAATTTTCAATTTACTCATTCGGCCACTTATAAAACAAACAAAACATTTCACAAACACTCACAAACACACTCCATCACGAACAATTTTTAATATTATCGTTAACGTTTATGACGTCACATGAATTTCCTCCATACAGGATAACTGAACGCGCACTGTTTCCGGTGTTAAACTAACGTAAAAAGGGTTTAATTAAAATTTTGTACGATGATGATTAAAGTTTAATGGTTGGCAACGCGTTGCCAACTTATGTTTTCGCTTTATGGGGGAAAAACTTGTAAAAAAATAATGATAATGATGATTTTTTTTCCGTTTTTTAAAGAGTTTAAGTAAATATGTTGTCAACGTGAAACAAACTTTTGAGGGAGGTAGGGGGGGGAGAGAAAATGCAGTAAAATTTAATATCCTCAAAGGTTTTCCTCCTTTTCTGTTTGTTCCCTTTTGTTTGTTTGTTGCGGTTGTAAATATATATTTTTTATTTTTTTAGTGCGTGACTTTCGAAAGGTTTTTTTTTTTTTTAAAATGGCGTTTTCTCATGGTTTGTCGTCGTCCGGATGAACATTTTAACGGTTTTTTTTTTTTTTTTTTACGCGAACGAAAGGTTAGGGAATCCATTTTAAAAATTTAAAAGTTTTCATTGTAATTGAATTAAAAAAAAAAAACCGGAAACAACAAAAACAACACACTTCCGGGAAAGAGCCTTGCGAGTGAATTAACAACATGAAAATTTCATAAATAAAAAATTAAAGTTTTAATTTGTTTAGTTTTTCAATTACGATGATTATGAGTGTGGGTTGGAGAGTGGGGAGAGGGTTAGGGGGGTTCCCGAAGGATGTAAAAACGATTAATTAAAAATGCGTGTATGAACGGAAAGAATTTACAAAAAAAAAAAAAAAAAAAGGAATCGTACGTTTTGTTTTTGATTAATTATTATTATTATTATTATTATTACAGGTCCATGAATTCCTGTAAAAAATGGATTTCGTCAAAGTCGTTTTGCTGGGAGGTTCTGGAGTGGGTAAAACTTCTATTGTCCAGGTTCGTATTATTATTATTATTATTATTATTTTTTCCCCCAATTATTTTATTCACCGCCATTTTGAATTGTAAATCATTTCATTGTTAAATTAATTACACGTCCTTTCACTTCCCCGTTGATCTATTGACACTACAGCAACACGTTTATAAAATTTATGTTTAACTTATTGAGAGAGAGAGAGAATCAGTGTCGGTTTAAGGTTTTTCATTAAATTTCCTTTCATCATCATCACCATCACTTTTGCCGAAAATTTATAATAATTTGTATTTTTTCTTTTCTTTTTTCTGCTGCTTTCAATTGGATTTTTTTTTTTTTTTAATTATTATTATTATTATGATGATTGTGACGTCAGAGATTCGTACACAACGAATTCAACGAAAAGTATACGCCTACGGAACAAAAGGAAACATATTATCCATCGGTTATAATAAACGATCACCTTTACGAGCTCAAAATTTCCGACCTTCCCGTTATATCATATTTTCCGGTTAATTCGTATTACGAATGGGCAGATTATAGGTTTTACGGTTTGAGATCCGCGACCGCGTACATACTCGTATTCGATTTATCGAACGTGGAAACGTTTCAATTCGTGAGAACTATGAGAGAACAAATGATAGAGAGTAGAGACATGAAACACGTTCCCCTACTCATCGTGGGTAACAAACAGGATCTCATAGTCGCGGACGCGGGAAGCGGGAATTCGGGGGTATCAATGATACCCTCGAGTAATAACAACACCCCATCATCGAACGGTTTAGACGTGAATCAAAGGAAAAGGCGAGACATTGTTAATCTCGTTAAAAAACATTGGAAGTGCAATTACGTTGAATGCAGCGCGAAACACAATTGGGGCGTCATTGCCGTTTTTAAAGAATTAATGGAAGTCATCGATTGTTTAGATCCGAATAAATGTCACAACAACAAAGAAGTTTATTCATCTCCCGTCATAGACAATATACAAGATGCATTCGATGGGAATAAATGCGCCATTTTGTAAATTTTTCAGTGGGAGCGAGTGAGCGAGCGAGTGAGCGAGCGAGTGAGAGAAAGGCTCTTTGAAAAAAAAGTGAATGATGACGTCAATAACGGTTTAATTGATTAATTTTTTTCTTTTTTTCTTTCTTTTCTTACCCCTCCCCCTTCCCTCCCCTCCCCCGCTTATTATTTCCAAAAATTTATTTATTTTTTTTTTTTTTTTAAAATTAATTAGTTATCCGCCATTGTTATGTAAAAAAAAAAAAATAAATAAATGCTCATGATGATACCGCCATTGAGAAACGCTTGTTCCTTTGTTTGTTTGTTTGTTTTACATTATAAAATTTTCATAACGATTATCATGATTATTATCATCATTATCATCATTATCATTGTCATTATTATTATTATTAATAATATAATTATTTTAAATAAAAATATTTTTAATTTTTTTTTTTTTTTTTTTTTTTTTACAGTCCTATATTAATTATAAGTGATTTTCCTTTTGACGTAATTTTCCTTTTAATAATTAATTAATTATCATCTTTAAGGGGGAGAAGGGGAAAAGGGGAGAGGGGGAAAAAGAAAGGAAAATGTCATTCGTTAATCACATAAATATTTTATTAACTGTAACGAGAGAACGAACGATGGAAGGAGGGAATATTAAAAATAATTTTTTTTTTTTTTTGTTTTTATTAGCAGAATACATAGAAAAATGATAGTTAGTGAAAATTTATCGAATTAAAATGGCGGAAAATGAAAAAAGGACGTCGACAAACGACAAACAACAAACAACGACGAAATTAGAAAAAAATTTATTCCGCGTGATAGGAATGAACACATAATAAAACCTAAAATTTATTATCATTATTAATATTATTACACAAACTAATTTCGGATGGAAAAAACTATTTGAGGTAAGTCCTTTATTTATTTATTTAAATCCGCCATGTTTAAAAAAAAAATTTTTTCTATTGCCACGAATAATTTCAAATCGTTTAATTATTGTTAATTACGTATAAGCGTTGACGTGACTTACCGCGTTCTTTGTTTGCGCGCGCAATTCAATTTATCATTATTATAATTATTATTATTATTATTATTATTATTATTATTATTATTATTATTATTATTTAAACAAATAGTTGAAGTCGGTGTAATAATGATAACGCGATGATGATGATAATAATAATAACAAAAACAGGAGCAGAGGTAACAATTGTAATGATAATAACAATAATAGTTAAAATAATAATAAAACTTAACGGAATAAAAAAATTATTATTATTATTATTTTTACGACTTGATAACCGGCGAAGTGTTTTATTATTATTATTATTATTATTATTATTTATTTTATTATTTAATGATTTTGATGTAATTAAAATTTGCCGTAAAGTTTTTTTTTTTTTTTTTTTTACGATTTGGGAATGAAATAAAATTTCTTTGTAACGAAAGAAAATTTTAAATTTTATGGCGCGTTTTTTATTTTATTTAAAAAAAATGGGGGGAAATTTTTATTTTATTGATTAATTAATTAATTAATTATTTAATTAATTTTTTTTCCAACGCGTATTTATTTAAAGTAAAAAAAAAAAGAAAAAGGTTTTGTTTATCGTTAAATTTATTTAAAGGTTTAAATTGATATGATTTATTTTTACGTTGGCGTCTGTTTGTTGTTTGTTGTTTTTGTTATTATTTTTTTTTTTTTCTTCTGCTTCTTTTTTTTTCTAGAAATCGGTAAAAAAAATTTTTTTTTTTCATATGATTTATGTGTATAAAGTTTGGATGGGTGAGTGGGTGGTGGATGGATGGGTTGTGGGGGGTAGAGGGAAAAATGGAAAAAAATATTGTCGAAATGTTAGCGTGTATAACGGACGTTTAAATTTTTCCTTTTTTCCTTTTTTTCCTTTCCTTTGCATGAAAATATTAAAAAAAGGGGGAAAAAAATTTTTCACGTGAAAAACAACAAAAACAAACAACAAACAACAGCGGAAAAAAAAATGGAAAATTTTATTTTTTTAACGTTTGATAATAATAATAATTCAATGGAAGAAATCGCGTAATTAATTATTTTATTTTATCGGTCATTGACCTTATATTAAAAAATTTTTATAATTGGTATGATTCCAACCAAAAAAAAAAAAATTTTCTTTTTTTGGCTTTTAACCAAATCGAATTGAAAATTTTATTATTCGGTCAAAGGGTTGTTAAAAGGTTTGAAAAATTATTTTTATTTCCCCCCCTCTTTCCCCCCCCTCTTTCCCCCTCCTTTCTTCCCTTCCAGGTTTATTTAATAAAAATATTTTTTTCGGGGGGAGTCGATTGATAATTATAGGAGGAGGTGGTGGTTGAGGGAGGGGGGAGATGATAAAAATAAGACAAAAAAAATTTCTTAATAATAAGAATCATTCCTTGCGATAAGTTTTAAATTATAAAAGAAAATCCGGAAATTGGTTTTTTTTTCTAGAAAAGAAAGAAAGAGAGAGAGAGAGAGATATGGTCAAATGAAAATGAAGTAATAAAATGAATTTTATTTAAGAGAAAAGTTATAAACGGAATAATTTCCCCGAAAAAAACAAAAAAAAGAAAATTATTAGTTAAGGTGTTATGTTGACTTGGCGTGATTGTTTTTAAAACGGAAATTGGGTTTTCCTTAAAAAGGACGAAAGAAAATGAGTATAAATACGTGAGTGAGAAAGAGAGAGAGAGAGAGGAGGAGAGGGAGAGATGAAGGAAAAAAAAGAGACAAAGGAGAGACAAAACGACAAACAGACAGAATGAGAGAAAGAGAGGGAGTGAGACGAAGAAAAAAAAGACAAAAGAGAGACAAAAAGACAAACAGAGAGACAGACAGAGAGATAGAGAAAAAGAGAGAGAGAAACAAACAGAGAGAGGGAGAGAGAGAGAGAGTGGAAAAGAAAAAGAAAAAAAGAAAAAAAAAACTTTAATGAAATACTTTAATATTTTAAATTGAAATATTTCGTTTTTATATAAAAAATATATTTTCGTTATTATTATTATTATTATTTCTTAATTTCGTGAAAATTAAAAAAAAAGAAAAAATATGGGAAAAGTTATGACGTCATAAATTTCATGGAAAAACTTCCGCGTGAAATTTTTTTTTATGCTCACGCATTTTACTTTAAACGCCATTAAATCATTTTTAAAAAAAGGCAACGAGTCTAATTCGCAGGTAAATTAAAATTTTTTCTTTTTTTTTAAAGTTGGCACCACCGCTCAATTCGGAAAACGAATTTTAAAAAAATAAAAATAACATTATTATTATTATTATTATTATTATTATTATTATTATTATTATTATTATTATAAACATCATTATTAAATTTTTATGAAAGAGAAAATAAATTTAATTTGCCGTTTTCTTTTTGAGCCGCATGATAATGATGATGATGATTATGATTATGATCGGGGAGGGGCGGGGGGAGGGTGGAAGGGGGAAAGAGGGGGCAAAGGGGTTGTTGGGAGAGGGAAGAGAAAAGACATTGACAAAAATTAAATAAAAAGAAAGAGAAAAAGAAAATTTTAATTATAATTAAAAATTGCGGGTTACAATGAAATTAAATAAACAATAACTTTATTATTATTATCATTATTATTTTTTTTTTGTATTCAGCGAAATGGAAATTTTAATTTATTTATCATTGCCATGGGTACGATAATTTTTTTAATAATAATAATAATAATGATTTTATTAATAAATAAATCGTAGGTTTTGAAAAAAAAAAAAATATTTCGATGGGATTCATAATAATTTCGTGGCAGTAAATAAAATCTATAATAGTAATAATAATAATGATGATAATGATGATAAAGATGGTAATAAAACGTGACTCCATTTTGAATTTTGCATTTTTTTATTTATTTATTTATTTTTTTTAAATTTAATTTTTCGAACGAGTGAAAACCTTTCGAACGCGTCTTTTTTTTCCCCTTCGGTTTTCTCTCTCTCTCTCTCTCTCTCTCTCTTTCTCTCTCTCTCTCTCGTCGTACTGTATTTAAATTGTCTTATTTTTTTTTTTTTTATTTCGGATGAAATATTGCTGTCGTCGTATAATAATAATAATAATGCTGTCGTCATTTCAAAAATAAAAAGTATATATATATATATATATATATATATATATATATATATGTAATTTTTTTTGTAGTACACTTTATTATCATTATCATTAAATGACATACATATATTTTATTTCGACGTTATTCGATTATTTATTTTATTTATTTACTCTATGAATGCGTATCGTTAAGAATATAAATTAATTATTATTATTATTATGTTACGAAAAAATAGTGACGTCGTCGTCGTCGTCGTCATCCGCCATATTTTTTTAAAACATTATTAAATTTATTATAAAAAAAAAAAAAAACTTTTACTTTTACGTCATCGACTAAACTTTTTTTTTTTTTTTCTTTTTTATTAATAAAAAATATTTTTACTACTAAAGGGTTTCCCTTTTAAAATATTTTTCGTTAGGTAATTTCATAGAGTAAAAAAAAAAAAAAA